GGGGTAGAGGATGGTAATTGTTTGTGTATATCATTGTGGATCAAAGTTATTGCAAAAACTAAGATTCATCCAAATGAATCAACGACTTAGGCCTACATCTAGGAAGTTTAGATTAAGTAAGTATTTTACGGCACTTGCAACACAATAAGGTCATATAAATGCCCAAAATTAGAGGTGTTACAAGAGATTAACAAACACAAAGAAGAAGGAACAGAGATGAGGAGGATAGATGTTTGATACGAAAGAAAAAGCAAACCACACCAGAGCACCCGCCAACCACCCATACATCCAGGCAATTATCTCTATCTTTCATAAAGAAAACGATGGAAAGCTACATCTTCCCCACATTCCCTTTTGGCCCTTGGACGTGGTCTTTAACAAAGACAGCAGGAAACAAAAATTAACAGCTGCGTTTGAGACGTGATGCTATTGCAGAATGGCCAGAATCAGATGGAAAGCAAAGAGGGCGAACAATGAGGTGTGGCAGATTCTCCACATGAGAAAAACCGTGGTTTAACCAAACAAATTGTAGAAAAAAATACAATGACAGTGACACTTTATTCATCTGGTAGGGAGAAAATTTGTCTTGGTTGTTAACAATGGCAGTGGACGTCGCAAAGGTTTGGTGCACTCACGCATACATACGCCTCTTAAATAACCTAATAGTGTTGATAGGGGCGTTAAACCTAAACCATTTCACCATTTTCACGCATTCATGACGACCCGCTCCTGTCATATAATAAAACGACACTAGATCACTCTGAAAGGGGTGCTTTAAGAAGGAGGGGTATGGGGCAGGAGAGCCAGGGAAGGTCAAAAGGTAACATGGACGGGCACAACATTAAGACATGGACTGGTCTAGGTAGAGCAGTATTTTATTGTTGTTGTTGTTGTTGTTGTTGTATTTTTTGTTAGCGTTTTCACTTGCTTACTTACTTACTTACTTACTTACGTACTTACTTACTTACTTACTTACTTACTTACTTACTTACTTACTTACTTACTTACTTACTCACTTATTCATTCATTCACTCACTCACTCACTTACTCATTTACTTACTCACTTGCTTGCTTGCTTGTTTACTTACTTACTTACTTACTTACTTAGTTACCATCACCCCCTCCCATTTCCCGCCCCTACCTCTCCTCAATAAACTCCTGCTGGACCATGGTCAGTTTGGTCAGTGTCCGGATCATGTCTCTCAGCTCCTGCAGCTCTGCCTGGACGTCTACGTCAGCACCACGTGACCCCGGCAGGACAGCGGTCAGACACACAAACACCTGGAGCAAATGATGGGGCCAAGGAGGTTAAAAATTGATACAGTCGAAACTGTATATGGTCGCTTTTAAAGACAAGCGGGCTGACCCAGATTTCGGGGGTTTTCAGAAACCTTGACCTACGGTACACCAAAAGTGGGCATTGCCCTACCTATAGGGGAAGTTTAGTTTCATTTGTGTGTATATTTGTTTGGTTATAGAGGAAACTCTCCTTGTCTTTTAATAAAGAGACTGAATAAGGATCCAAAAACTGTAACTTCGGTTTTCTCAAAAAAGCATTTTTCGGGATAGCCCCCTTGTGCTTAAAAGTGACCATATGAGGGCCACCCGTTGCCGATGAGAAAAGTAGCCGTAATAGACAGGTGGTGGTCGTCTTACTCTTGGGAATCATAATATTAAAAAAACGCAAGATAGGAATATGGGAAATATCTGTTTGTACAACTGGTTGTCTTATACTGGTGGTAGTTTGTACAGGTGATTGTCTTATACAGGTGGCCGTCTGTACCTGTGATTGTCTTATACAGGTGGCCATTTGTACAGGTGGTTGTCTTATACAGGTGGTCGTTTGTACAGGTGATTGTCTTTCAAGTGTACTAATACAAAAATGTTGATTAAAAAAAATAATGTTGAAACTGCGTGGTGTCATGGTGACCTCGTGCGATCGTCAAAATCTATCGAAGACAAAGAAACACTAGAATATATAACTATATATTTTTCTGCCTGTAGGTCCATTTTTATCGATATTTTCTGTGTGGCTTAACACCTTTTGCATTTAATTTAATTCTGTGTAGATTGAATGAAAAACGTTGTTCAAAGGCACACACACACGCGTGCGCACACCCACAGATAGAGAGAGAGACATGCGGGGAGAGAGAGAGAGAGAGAGAGAGAGAGAGAGAGAGAGAGAGAGAGAGAGAGAGAGAGAGAGTGAGAGAGAGAGAAAGAGAGAGATGCAAATCAACTTACGAGTCCAAGAATCGCTGCACTCCTCTCCCTTTTCATCGTCATCATCATCATCGCTTGACAGAAGCTGGACCCCAACAAAGAAGTCATCCTCTACGACGTCAAACGAACAGTGAGCACCGCCTTTAAGCCTGTGTGTTGGCTCGCGACTACTCACACAACGAATGCACAGTCGTGTTCGATTTCCTTTTTATAGACCAATACTAGCACGATCGCGAGAAGCCTGATTCATTTTGAGTAGTAAGGCATGAGTATGAGGGGAAAAGGATAACATCACAAAGGTGATTGCCATCGCAATAGCTTTTCACGACATGCACGCATGTTTTATGCCGATTCAGACGAAAAAAAATAAAATACCGTAAATAAAACCCACCCCCCCAAAAAAAACAAAAAAACAATCAAACAAACAACAACAACAACAACAACACAAAAACAAAACAAAAACACAAAAACAACAACCCAACAAACAAAAACATTGAACAGTCCTTCACTGGCATTATTACGTTTGCTGTAATATAATATTATTACGGGTTATTAATATTATTTCAGTTCTAATTGGGTGCAAACCAAACAATCGAACCCTTTACTCACCTTTTAGGGTGGGACCCGACAGTCGCGACATTAATATATATGAGTGACCCAATTGGCTGTGAAGTAGCTCACTCAACCAACAACAACGTTATGAAGTTATTGTGCTTTCGGTATACTTGATGGGGGCATCTATTATTACTTTTCATGAAACGAGGTACATGTATAACCAGACACTGTGGCGGTGGGTGAAACAGCATTTGGGTGGGGGTTTAGGGTTTTGGTTAGTTTTAGTAGAGGTTTTACGGCACTCGCAACTGCATAAGGTCATATGAGCGCCAGAAGATTAGAGGTGTTACAAGAGAGTAACAAACTTACAAAATGCAAAGGGGAAATAAGGACGATAGATGTTTGATAGGAAAGAAGAAGCAAACCACACCAGATCACCCGCCAACCACCCACAGGCTTAGGTTTCTTCCACCGTCTTTACTTTTACGTTTACTTTTTCATCCTCTGTTCCTGTTAAGCGTGAGGGGAGATGCAGTTTTCTATGGTAGGCCAGCTCTGCAGCTCTTTCAGGTGTGATATTATGTCTTCTCAGGGTTTCCTTGACACCCTCGTTCCACCTTTTGCGTGGCCTTCCTCTTCCTTTATTAATAGCCTGAGTGTTTGGTGGTATAGGCTCTCGAGGCTGGCTAGTCAGGTGACAAACGTAACAGGTGGCCTAACTATTTTATCCTCTCATCTCTGTCTTTCTGTGAAATGCAAGCAGGACTCAGTGCCAACAGCAGCTCTTTACTATATTCACCTCTTTACTACCAAATAACAAGTAGCTCTTTATGAGTATATTCACCTCTCTACTACCAAATAACAAGTAGCTCTTTACGAGTATATTCACCTCTTTAGTAGATCTACCAAATAACAAACAATTCAATAAGACCAAAATAGTGATGATTTTTCTATACCCAACCCGACCGCACTCGACCCAATCCCATCCACAATTTGTATAACTACTAGGCTACCGAGGCCACAGCAACCGGCTTGCAATGAGCTTCAATAATTTCTTACAACACGAGACACCTGACTCTCCCCTCTACTCTTAATTTAACAGTCCCCGTGGTTTTATGCACCCCGCATAATTAAGCAAAATTTGATAGTTTTTTTTGCATAATTCCTGATTATTTTCCTTTATCATTCTTTGTTAAAATTAACAGAATCGCATAATTTCATATTTTTGGGCTCAGTTTGCAGAATTTTAGAATTTTTCTTGCATAAAACAACGGGGACAGATTTAACAATTGCTAGAAATGGGAAGCTTACGTAGCATGCGGTACTGAACAGAAAATGGTTATATTATTAGCGTAATGCAAGATGTCACGTCACCGGTGACTTCCGAAACACTCTCCTTCCTTCCGCCATTACGTCGTAACATCGCAAATCTGATGCCTCGACCTCGACCATGATAGAAAATAACATTGAAGGAGCTCATCACGATTTTGTCCTACATCTTTCTCTTTTATCACGACACGGTGGAATCAGGCGCTCGTAAATTTTGGGCCATATAGTAAAGTAATTCTGTACCCGTGGTTTTATGCACCCCGCATAATTTAGCAAAATTTGATTTTTTGTGTGCATAATTTCTGATTATTTTCCTTTATCATTTTTTGTTAAAATTAAAAGAATCGCATAATTTCACATTTTTGGACTCAGTTTGCAGAATTTCAGTATTTTTTGGAGGCATACAACCACGGGGACAGACGATAGAAAATAACATGAAGGAGCTCATCCCGATTTTGTCCTAAATCTATATATTATTATTTCGCATTTTGTCGCGACACGGTGGAATCAGGCGCTCTTTAATTATGGGGCATAGAGAGTAATTTTATTGATATAACCTTAAAGCTTTTTCACTTGCTTTTGATGGGAAAATAGTACCCAACTATTTTGAATAGAAGTCGAGATAGGTCAATTTGCGATCGAAGCTGAAGGAGAAGGGGGTCGCCTGGTGTCCTAGGTGAAGTAAGCGAGAAAATCAGTCCCCGTCGTTTTATGCAAGAAAAATTTTGAAATTATGCAATCTGAGCCCCAAAAATGTGAAATTATGCAAATCTCTTAATTTTAACAAAAAATTATAAAGTAAAATAATCAGATATTATGCACAAAAAAGATCAAATTTTGCTAAATTATGCAGGGTGCATAAAACCATGGGGACAGGAAATTGGGCGCCAAAGTTTGATGACTTCTTCTTTAAGCTAAGGCTGAAGTGTCCTTGAAAAGTGCAAAATAACATTTTTTTCCCGGTCAATCTGATCTACGTGTTTTAGTCAATCAAAACAGAAATGAGTTTTTAAATTAACACAAGAGGTGTTGACCCCCCCCCCCCCCTCTCTCTCTCTCTTTCCACTGTTCTAAAAAAAAGTCAATATAAAAATTGCTCGATGGACGGAACAATTTTCCTTTTTTCCATTTAAATATTTTGACGAGCGCCTGATTTCACCACGATGCCACGCATAGTAATAATAATAATAATAAAATAACTGGCCATGATTTTGTCCTACATATTATTACTGTTATAATTAATATTAGGCCTATATATATCGAGCCACGGTAGAGAGACCATGCAAACATAATACATGTAGTACCTTGCTGAGGAATCTTGGTCTACTCGACACAGTGACGTGAGAGGGGGAGGGGGGAGGAGGAGGAAAAAAGGTGGTCTTCTCCACTTTCAAATAATTATATATATATATATATATATATATATATATATATATATATATATATATATATATATATATATACAATTATATATATATAATGTATACATGTGCTGGTATATTTTTTTTCTTAATGTGTGTGTTTTTACGTTCCCAATATTGGTCATTCAGTGCAGGGGAGAAATAAGACAGAAAGACTACACGTATAGAGTTCCAATTTCTTACAATAAGAAGCAGAAAGTTTACTTTGACAAGACTTAACTGAACCATCATGGCCACAAATAAACTCGTAGATAGAAGGTCCGATTTAAATAACCCGTTCTTCCAATAAGTCTTTCATATATATAATATATTTGTTGCATTGGTAGAGCTCTTGTGAAATATTTCAGTTATTTCACTACAACATCCACAGCCAAATTGAGCTCGGTATCTATACGACATGATATTATATATTTGTGAAAGTTCGTCACTTTGGCCTCCTAAAACTTCGGAACCACTTAATTTTTGAATTTAACTAAATTAATGGTGGTTCAGAATCATTTAAAGGGTGCACAGTTCTATTGAGGAGCCTGAAGTCATTGTTGTAGTTTCATTTTCAGTTCTTCATTAGTTTCGTTTAGATCTAATCCTGGGAAAGTCCATCTTCTCTAAGACGCCACTGTAAATAAGTGAGGTTTCCGTTCAATAGCCGTGCGCACTGTTTCCACACAAAATTCAGGAGTGTACAACCTTGAAAGCGGAATAGAGAATCAATCTATACATCTATTAAATATTTGGCAACTTGGAAACATGTGTCACTTTTCTCTCAAGATTGATTGCTCCATTCCAGTAGAGTGTAAATAATTACTTTCAGTTGATGTTAATGCAACGATAATTCCTTTCATCGAAAGGGGGCCCAGCTCGTATAATATATACCGGGTAATAATTTTAATATATGACCAAAAATCCTCATGGTTCATTTTTTGGCAAACATGACATAATAATAACCAAAGCAGCAAGACCTGAGACTTCCACAAATCAACATTTATCTCCTCCTGCACTGCGGAAAAAAAAAAGTGTCGACCACTTCAGACCTACCTGTCCCCGTAGGATGATGCGATTGTGCGGCCGCGTTTTTTCGCGTAATTCTGCAACATTTGCATAATTTGGGATTCTCCGCATTTTTTCACGTTTTTTCCCTACAAAACAATTACTTAATGCCTCGCCATGTGACTAAAGGGACGTAATCACCGTAATAAGTCTCATTTAAGTGAAAAGTTGGCTACTATTTCCCTTGTTAGAAGATCTTGGTTACGGGTTGTGATTTTTTTCCTTGAGCATGTTCAATTTTTCAATCCATCAAAAGTTGTTGTTCTCATGTCTGCTGATGTTTCATGTTTGACAGGTGTTCCTGGTTTTAGTAATGTGCCAGCATCAGAGGTCCAGATGTCCTTTTTTTTTTTTTTAAACGTTTTTCTTTCTTCTATAGATCTAGATCTAGATTCTACAGCTGAAAGTTACATAGAATATATTTTTTGGTTGTTTTTTTAAAACTGATGTGTATTGTTTTCTTTTCCAAATACACAACAAATTACTGATACTGATATGTCCTATTTTCAATTTTTCTGTACATAAAACATGAAAATCATGAAACTTCGTGTTGAAAAAGTGCAAACATGTCGCAAATGGTGTTACGGTAGCTTGCATAATTTTTGCATAATTTAGTCTTTTTTGGGGCATAATTTGGCCTTCTAAATTTGCATAATTTACTGGGAGAGACCTATAAATCTCTAGAGTGAAGGAATTCATCATTCAAACCAATGTAAGGCAACACAACTTCTGAGCTTTCAGTTTAGTTTTAGTAAGAGTTTTACAGCGCTCGCGATTGCATAAGGTCATAATATGAGCGCGCTAAACACAATTTGGTTGCATTCACAACATTTCACTGCACGTCTTGGCTCAGGTCAACGATCAGGTTTTAAAATGTTAAAAACTTGAGGTATATAAACGATCAAAAGATGATAACCTGCTTAAAATCAAAATAACTGTATTTACAATTTTCCGTAATACTAAAGGGCCTTTATAAAATCAAGGATTCTTTCGGGATCAACGACCGAAAACAAATCTTGCAATTTTTTGCATTTAAAATATTTCGTTTAGGTGTCTCCGAAGTCTGGATATTCTGTTAAAATGTGCCTAATGGTAAAATCTGTGTTGCATCCAACACAGTACGGCTTCTCATCTCCCTAGTGAAGGAGATATTTATGTCGGGGACGTGTTTCCAATGCGTAATTGAGTAAAAATGACTTCGTCTCTTCTGGAGAGGCCCGAAGGTTTCCGTGGACCCAGTTTGGGCCTAATGTTGTGTAGTTGATTGTTTTCTTGTTTTTTTTTCCCAACGAGTCTCCTACAGACTGGAGCTGTAGTTTTTTACCTAAATTTCTAAAGTCAGTCTGTGGGGAGAGTGATTTTTAGTTTTAGTAAGTTTTTAAGGCACTTGCAACACAATAAGGTCATATAAGTGCTGAAGATTAGAGGTGTTACAAGTGAGTAACAAACACAAAAAAGAAGGAGGGGAGATAAAGACAATAAAGATGTTTGATAGGAAAGAAGAAGCAAACCACACCAGAGTACCCGCCAACCACCCACTGGGAGAGTGTTTGTTGTTAATCCCAACAGAAGGGACAAGGAATCCGTTGCCAGGAGATCCGCCTGGTCGTTTTCTCGGATGCCCATATGGTTAGGTAGCCATCTTCTGAGCTTTTTTTTTTTAGTAGAGGTTTTACGGCGTTCGCAACTGGACAAAGTCATATGAACGCCAGAAGATTAGAGGTGTTACAAAAGAGTAACAAACATAAAAAAGAAGAAGGGGAGATAAGGACGATAGATGCTTGATAGGAAAGAAGAAGCAAACCACACCAGAGCACCTGCCAACCACCCACTTTCTGAGCTTTGACCAGTAGAAATACAAGACATTTTTACCTCACATTTCCAATACACACCACCAGTGAGAAGCATATTTGCAAACTACAGAAACTGGAAACAAATAGAAAGGAAACATGTATTTGAATGCACAAGTTGTTTATTCATGTTTTTGGATTTATAAGTTGTTTTTTTTTCTTTTTCAGGACATCCAGTACCATTTCCCATCACAGGCTATTTGCTCACGAGAAACACTGCATCATGAGCTTAATATACATGTACATCCACGGTGAATACAAAATAAGACACACCTGTCGTCCAAAAAGGGAATCTTTATACCAGCAATGGCGATGAAAAGGGTGAAAAAATGTCATATAAGAAAGCTACATATTTTCAATTTTCCTCCAAAAATACCTGCGACTGTTCCAATTAAAATATTCTCAATTCTGATTTTAACCCGTTCCAACTCAATTCTCTAATGAATGACATTCGGGTGATCCAAAATTGTCACTCACTGATAGTAGATAAAAACAAAATATCCCGCTACATGTACTACAGCATATAAAGTATGTTCCACCAAAAAAAATATTAAAAAACCAAGAGAACTCAGCACTAACGCAGAAAGCAACAAAAAAATATTCTTTTCATTCGGGAAAAGAAAGTTGCTGGAAAAAAATGGGCTGATATAAAGTAACAACTAGGCCAACATCAATCAACGATGGCGATGGAAATGTAAAAATCTTCATAAGAGAACAAAAATACCAATGCGGTAAAAATCATGTACCCACTATGCCGCAAAGCTAGCTGGGAATTTTACTGGGGTACGTCTAAATTCTATGAAAATCTAAATAACTTCATAAACGGAGAACATAAAAAGACAGCTGATCATATTTAAAAAGGCTCAAGACACTGTGATAACAAGCTTACAACGAGCACAATGAATGATGTTGTGTTCAACGAGGGGGGGGGGGGGGTACACACCAAGTCGGAGCAAGCAAATGGCCGACACACACACAGAAAGACTCATCACAAGACTGGTGTCAGGTACTTATGTGTGAGCTAAATTACTTTCCCACAGCTCACTGTAAATTGAGGTGGTTTTTCAGAAAAGAAAAAAAAAATATTTAAAAAATCCACTGCACCAGAAGATCTCCTGCCAGCACTGTTTTAGATTCAAACATACTGATGATTGAGGATTGATTGTTTTTCGAAAAATCTTATTAAGAACAACCCAGACCAACCAAACAGCACCCAAAACAAACAAAAAAAAGAAAAGGCTTTTAAACTATCATTAAAAACCAAACACAGCCATTTCAGATGACTGTACAAACGTACAGCAGCCCACATAATTAATACTTTACGTGTATCGAAAAGAAGTGAGAGGTCCAAAATACAGTCCAGAAGTGAAATAATTTCAGCCTACTACAAGTCCCAAATAGAGAGAGGGGGAAACAAGCACAGCCAACTAGTCCTATTGGTGTGCCAAATCTATCGACACGTTTGGTGTGTGTGTGTGTGTGTGTGTGTGTGTGTGTGTGTGTGTGTGTATGTGTGTGTGTGTGTGTGTGTGTGTGTGAGTGTAAACGGTTGCACAGACTTGGTGTGATCCAGAGACACGTTCACATTGATTATGAGAATAAAACTTGAGTGAGTGAGTTATCAATCGGGAAGTCATTTGACCATAGTCCCACAACTCATACCGGGAATTTCTCCACAGACATACATGATGTATACGTTATTTCACACACAGCTGCCATTCACAAACACATTAAGACATCAAAGGGCGGGGCGTGCGTAAGGTTTGCTGAAGGGACGTATAACCTTGGATCAGACAAGACGAGTAACGCACTCCAAGCCTCCTGGAGCTGAGACATGAGCAATTCTCTAAATACTCGCCTTCACCCAGCAAACCCTTCACAACACTCGCCACATCGCAGCCCCCACCCTTACAGCACACGCACACGTACACAAAATGATACACATGTATACACACACGACTCTATATGTACATAAGATGCATCTTGGGTCCGCTGATCATCCCTAGGTTGAGCCTACCCAAACAGAAAGCTGTACAACATCGAATGTGTGCAAACTCCCACGCGAAGACAAGAGTACGCAGTAGTAGCAACCAGATGGATGGCCGGGGAAAGAAAAATGAAAGTTCCTCATCACCTCCATCGTGCCCAAAGAAGCAACACCCACGCCGAGGCTGCGGCTGTTCTACGCGCTGTCCTCACAGCTTCCGTAGACGCTCTCGTCACTGTAGGCAATGTACAAGAAGAAGTCCTCCTCGTGGTGCTCCTGCAGGGGGGAAACACGACACAGGCACGGGGTTACTTCACAGCTCTCGCACAACACTAGTTTTTAGTTTTAGTAAGAGTTTTACGGCACTTGCAACACAATAAGGTCATATAAGTGCCGAAGATTTGAGGGGCTACAAGAGAGTAACAAAAACAAAAAAGGAGGGGAGATAGAGACGGTAGATTTTTTCATAGGAAAAAAGGAGCAAACCACACCAAAGCACCCGCCAATCACCAACAACAGTAGTTTTTGTTTTTGTTAGAACTTTACAGCATTTGCAGCCACAAACAGGTCAAGGTGAGCAGATTAGAGGTGTTACTAGAGAGTAACATGATACAAAGAAAAGGTTGAGGAGAGAGATAAGAATGACTGATGTTCGATAACGAATTTAGTTTTAGTTTGAGGTACAAGTTTTACTGTACTTGCAATCACAAATATGTTACATTACTTCCGAAGATTACATGTGTCACTACTTGAGAGTAACAAAGAAAAGAAGAGATGACATCGACACTTTCTTTGCCACCAGACTCTGAGACTTTTAAGTATGTGTATTCCAACAAAACAGACCATCAAAACACTAACAGTAACTGTCAATCATAATTATCATACATCTGATTATTATCATAGGACAAATATTTGCTTCTGGTTTAATCCATCTAAACCACTTCGGGCATTATTTGACATTGAACATTCCACAAGCTATCAGTAAGAGTTACTAATCTAAAAAATTGCATAATATACATTTTGTTTGCAATTTTTACTGGTCCTGGACTGAGCAGAAATAACAAGTTCCAAGTAATTTTAATACATCTTTTGAAACAATCAAATGATGAGTTTATCAGAAACGACACCATGAAATATGGGGGATAATGATCTGGCTTCATCTTTCTCTCTCTTCTGGCGCTGTGGCGTCATAAACTGTCAGCGATGCCGACAGCACGCAGGAACTCAACACTTGCTCGGGGGTCCATGAAAAGTGCTGAAAGTGGGTTACTGAAATGTCCCAGCAGACGAGATCTGGCACGATAGTTCATCAGCACCATGGGCCCACGGAGCACTCTGTTTTACCACCATTGTAAATGTCCAGACACAAAAATCTACTTAAAATTTTTTTTTATAAGACATTTTCATAAAAATCGCCGCTTTTCTGTGTACTTAAAAAAAATTCATCTCACCTGATAGAGAGCTCCCATTGTTGCACTAGTGGGTGGGATCACATTGTTGACAAAGAAAAACAGAGCATCCTCTGGCCTCAGGTGAATCCGCTTGCGGATCAGGAAATAGAACTGTCCGACAGTCAGGTCTGAGGGCACCAGGTACTTCTTCTTGTCCAGATCTCCGACTCGTGCCTTTGGGGCTTTCTCCACGATAACCTGAAAGAGAGAGCACAATTTGGAGAGGCCTGAATTATTGACACTTCGAATGCTCCGTGTAAAATTCCAACATTAATGTATGTCACTTTCAAAAAATGGAATGGCACTCTTACACTAAGCAGTCAACTTGTAGACTTATAACTGGCAGAAAAAAAATCAAAGAAAAATTTAGTCCCATGGTTATAGTCTTGAATCTATTCTTAAGCCTCCCTATAACTTGATGTTTTGCAATTAGGCTTGAAATTTCCTTGAAAATGACTGATTTGCGACAGTTTTAGTGACCTTAATGTTTGATCCGCAGTAAAAATTACAGCAGTTTGACCCTCAAAGCAGAGGCGTAAGGTTTGGCAGCTCTGGTCGCAAGCCCAGCAGCACCCTAACCATTACTAAAATATAAGGGAGTGTATACAGACCCGGTAACCAGGAACAAAGTTACGAAGTATACAGACCCGGCAGGGGAAATCTTTTGTGATTTCGGAAAGTTTCGGAGCCCTCTTGGCTCAGGGTAGACTTAGATTCTTAGATTCTAAATCTAAGGCCTAGGTCTAGATCTGGACAGACAGACATCAAATTATTCTAGTTTCGAGGCCTAGACCTAGATCTAAATGAAGATTGCGGATGTCTTTTCGATGAACGATCCTTTTCCTCCGTTTTAGAGTTGGAAGAATCACAAGACAATTTGGAGAACTAAAAAGAACAATGTCAAAATTTAAATCGAGCAGTCACCCTCTCTATTTCTCTGCCTCTCTCCCCTCTTTTTCTGCCTGCCTCTCTCTCTTCTCTGTGTATCCTTCGCCTTCTCCTTTTCTTTGTTTATCTCGGTCTTTCTCCCCCACCCCCCACCTACTTTCCCACTCTACCTTTCTCCTGTTCCCTCCTGTCAACTAGGGCATGTGATATTTGCTAGCACTTCCCCCTGCTCTCTACCCCCTCCCCTCTCTCTCCTCACACAAATACACTCTCTCTCTCTACCGGGTCTGGGCGCAGAAACTTTCTGAAATCACAAAAGATTTCCCCTAACAGGTCTGTAAACTCCATGACTTTGTTCCCGGTTACCGGGTCTGAATACACTTCGAAAATATTAACTCAGCTGACACCACCAAAATATTTTAATAAAAATTTACAAAACAAGGAGGCGGAAGCATTGATTGGACAGATTTGCCAATATTGGGTTTGGGAAGTCCGACTTCACAAATGATAAGCTAACTTACATGAGAAGCCACCTTGAGAATCTCATTAACCTGAACCCTGGCAATGAGTGAACGGAAACAACAATAACAAGGGCATGGGCCAAGGCCTGACATTACTGAAAAGACCCCAAGCCCTGCTGGCATGATTACCTTGAAAGTCGCGAATCTTACCATTACCTCAGGATTGTGGATTGTGGTACAGAATATCACATTAGCTACCAAGTACTGCAATTGCCATGACTAAACTTAAAATATAAGTCAGTAGCCACAACCGTAACAATGAGAATTCCCTAGAAACTAGAGGGTAGTAACAAGAAGAGACAGTGACACAGAAAGGCTGATACTGATGAGAGTAAACACAGGGTCCATACTTACGGGAACTCTATCTGGATACTTCTTGCGGATTTTCTCTCCCTCTGCTCGTCGCTTCTCAAAAGGATGCTCGTCTTTGTATTGCCACTTCATGGTGTATAGAACAGTTGAATTTGATAAATTAAGAATGTGTCTTTCAGTATCTAACTCTCTTCACAGCTGATCAGAAATTTCGTCAACAAAGAAAGATGGCGAATGTCGTTTCTACCTTGACGAAATGAATCCGCGTGCTCAAAGAGTACACTTTGTTTAGAGAGCTTTAGCTTTGATTGTCAGTATTTTTTAATTATTTGTAGCTGATGAAAATAAATAAAAGCCAAATAACTGCTGCAATCATGAAGAGAGTATATGTAGGGCTTAGAAACTTCTTGTTGTGTGCAACGCTACAAACTCGCGTATCAATCTTATTTGTAAGTGTCACATGACTTGCAGAACCTAAACATTACAGGTGTTCTATTTTTAGTAACATAACATGTGGGGGGAAAAAACTGCGTCTTAGGCCAAGGCCTACGTATTTTTAGTTTAGGGGTAAACTTCAGCAATAGTGTCATCACATGACACCATTGTTGATATACCAGTAAAAATATTGCTTACATTTTATGTATTCACTGTCAAAGCATTTAGCAGTTGCGAACGTTATAAGACACAGGAACATTATTAGGCTACAAATTACAAAGAAATAGTAAGAAAGAATTCATATTTTTTAGTATGCCATGTCTTTGGTCCTGAATAATGAATGGAACTCTGTGACGAGTACCAAATTAATTTATAACTGTCTTCAAATCAACGAATCTCAACCATGAGTCACCAAACAAAGAGTGTATAGTTTTTTTCCTTCAAAGAAAGTAATTTCTTATTGTTTTGAGGTGTATCATTAAAAAGTTAAAGGGAGATAAACATCAAAAGTTAATGAAGTAGTCTAGTTGATCATAGTCATAATGAATAGGGAGTTTTGATAGAGTTTTCAAAGGCTAACAGCCTTATCTAATCTGAAAAAACAAAGTTATGTATCTTCTGTGTATATGAAATAAAAAGTAAAACAGGAAAGGCATCTTCAAAAGAATAACAACTTGTATACCATGTATGGACAAACATGGCAGACATTCAAGGGACATAACTGGAAGAAATTGAAGAAAAACCAAGTATTCAAGGGAAACAATAATCTTAAACCTATACGTTAACAGTTTTTAGTAAATATGATAATTGCATTTTGAGTTGAGCTTACATACGAATTTAAAGCGCTGCTTATAAATATTTTGTAAATAAATGCATACAATTTAATTAATAAATCATCATATTGTAGTTTAAAATGAAAATCTTACTTATAAATAGTTAAAATATTTCAGCCATGTCAAATTTAGAATACAGAAAAAATATAAGCATAAACAACCAACTATTCAATATCATCATATAACGATATTTGCTAATAAGCATCTATCATCATCTAGAATTTTTCAGACTCTCCATCAGGAGAGTTCCATACATGTGCAATCTTTCGAATTTGAATCGGCGGTGACGTTAATGATTAATAAGCCTGTCGGCTGTTGGTAATGGTAATAACAAATAATAGGAATAGGCGTATTTCATGTCTGTAATGTATATTAGCCTACTTGCATTCTGCGTGTGTGGATGTTGAATCAATTGGGAAAATGCAAAAGTCTGTTCACTGTTCACGGTTCGTCTAACATTTACATAACCTAGTCCAAGGCATCCCTCAGTCCCATTGACAGTTAGCCAAAACTAAAATTCACAGCGTTCACAGTAAATCAGAAGGTGACAACTAATCTTCACATCGTTCACTGTGAAACAAAAGAAAAACAAAACAGACAAACAAGATCTATCCTTGAGAAAAGATACGACTCGTGTGTAATATTATGTGATAATGATCAGTGTCTGATAAGCGTGAAATTCATCAATTGAATTTTAAAGAAGAAGAAGAAGAAGAAGAAGAAGAAGAAGAAGAAGAAGAAGAAGAA